ACTTCCGGTGCTAGTGCGATTGATACCCTGGCGCGGGGCGGCGGTGGAAAAGGGCTGAGAGGTTTGCGATGAGGTTATTTGTGGGCGCGCGTGGTACGGTATGGAGGGTGCGTGTTGCCATGCCGAAGAGGCTTTGGAGCCCACATACGATGCGGCGTTTGCGGCTGTGTCGCGGTTTCCGCGTCGGGGTGGTGGAGGAGGTGGACCTTTTCGAACACCACTGACTTCTAGAGTTGATGCATTTGAGCTAGGCGCTTCTGTCGATCTCAATGCAGGTAGGTTGTTGTAGACAGACCATAGCTTATCACGAGCCATACCAGCATAGGTTTGCTGGTCTTCTGGTGCCTGGCTCTGATGGGTCAAGGTTGGCTTGGGGCCTACCGGAGGTTTTGGAGGCCCTGATGTGTTTGCGCCTCTAGGGTGATCTTGTTGCTGTGCGAGTGGACTTGACGTGTTGACAGCTGTTGAGGACACTCGAGGCTTTGGCGGCTGTGGTTTTGCGCCAGAGGGAGGCGGTTTGAATGGTGCGGATTCGCTCGCAGGACTTCTCAATGCGACAGGCTTTTTGGGAGGCGGGGGCGCAGACTTCATTGCATTTGACGCAGCTGAGGAAGAATGTCTCTCGTTGTCGGCCCTGGTTTCGGAGTTGAATCTTCTCAGTGCAGGCGACTCATCCACGTCGTCATCCGACGACAGATCTATCAAGTTTGGTGCCGATCTTTGCGAGGAGGGTTTCCTTTCCGGCAACTTTGGCCGTCTATCGTGATCCAGCTCTGGAAAGATTGAACGGGGACGTTTGTCATTCTCCGCATCCATGTCACGTAGTGACGCTGCAATTGCAGCCTTGAGTTCGGGATCGTGCTCCTCGGAAAATGATCGAGCCTTACTTGAGGCGGCCGAACTGTCTCCACCAGCAGCTTGCGCTGGTGGTGGAGACGTAGAGTGGCTCCCTGAAGAAGGACCCATCGAAGGATCAAAGAATCCTGGGCTGTCTATTGTAGTAACGTCGCGGATGAACACTGCAACTACTCTTCCTGGGTTCTCGAGGACGAAATCAGTGTATACCTCGAGATCAGCCTCGCCACTGTCTCCGATCAAAATAAAGTTGCGTTCTGGAAAGTCCCTAGCAATCTTATCGAGCGTAACCTTCTTTCTCTCAGCAACAGGCTCAAAGATTCCCTGCAGCATACCGCTATATTGCTTCAAATGGAATGACCCTGGTGGCAGCCCAGCCAGCGAAAAGTATTTCGAAATGACAGGATACAGCTGCCAGGGAGAGTTGGAGACATAGTGGAATTTTACCCCCATCTCTGCCATCTTATTGTACCACTCTCTGACGCCGTCAATGGTAAGATCAAGGAGGTCGCGAATGAAAACGTTGCGGAAGATTTCGCGGGCTCCACTACCAATAGCAGAGTGCTTGATTGTATCATCAATGTCGCTTATCACGCTGATACCCTGTGAAGAAGTGACAATCACTTCCTCCGTTGCTGAGAGTCTGTCCGATGCTAGAATGCGTACGTGGGTAGGCACAAAATCCAACGCTGCGCTTATACTAAAGTGTCCTGCAGCATCTGTATATACTGTCCGCTGCTTCGAGATTGTCTCGTTGTAGAAGAAGACACTGATAGGCGTGTTAGCCATGGGTATGGCAAGAAAGTGTCGCAGTCGAGCCATGAGCCGGGCGTTGGCCTCGGCAAGCTCTGCTGGACTCATTTCAGAAGGCTGATTCCAGGAGCCGCGTTTTTGCAAAGGCTTGATACTAGCCTCGCTCCGCATGGAGTCCTGCGATGTCTTGTGGGCCAACTGGTGGACTCTGTCATTGCCCGGTCGCATACTGTTGCCACTTTCCGTCCGGTACAGCTCAATGTCATCGTTTTGTGGAGCAGGTCTCTCACTGTAGGCACCACGTGCAGCGGCCCTCGCCTCGCTCTCGCCTCTGCGCAGAATTTCCTCAGCTTCTCTAGCAGCAATTGCTTCGTCTCGCTGGGCGTCGCGCATGTGGGTTCTTTCGCGATAGTCATGGCCTTGTGGGCTTGTATCTCGACTGCTCTCAGCAGATGAGCCAGATGTTTGTGCAGGCACCTGAACACCAACAAGCTGCCGTGCAAGGCCAATGAAAAGCCTCTGTTTCCTAGACATTGGCCCCTTGTGTGGTGAGTATATCCAGCCACGGACATCGACGTCTACCACCGCATTGTCGTCCTCGTAGTTATTCCACTGCTCTTTCCAGAAGTCGGCATCTCCCGTGTTATTCGATTCGTGTGCATCAATCCCTTGGCCTCCAGCTTCTTGCATTGCCGTTATTTGTGCTTCTGGCTTCCTCTTGACGTGTCTTCGGGCATAGCTGGGGAACAGAACCATCTCCTCACGTCCGCTCCTGACGACGGCTGCATCGGGAAATCCACCTGGTGTATCATCCTCATAGTCGTATTGTGCCTCTTTGTTGCTCCAATTCGAGGCATATTGTTGTGTGTATGTCTGCCTAAGCTCGTTGGCCGCCTTGAGATAGCCGGCCAGCTTTCGTCGTCGCGATCCCGGCTCCCGTGCTTCATAGCTCTCTTGGTATGACATTGCGGGCTTGCTCAATGTCTTTTCACCTGGATTCTTCGCTATCTGCTGTCGCCGTGCCCTTGCTGCATCTTCAAGGTAACCACTGCCAGCCAGGCGTCGGGTGAAGCCTCGCAGCCGCTGCGCAATGCTCGGCTTGCCTCGGAGTCTGAGGGACTGGCGATAGACCAGGTATCTGTATATACGTGACTGGGCACGGTGCTTGAGCGAAGGAAATGTCTCGTGGCGGAGTTTAGAGAGATGAATGCGCGCGCGGGCTCGCGTCCGGGGAAAAAGGAAGCGGAGGATGGAGTCGCGGCCGTGGGCAGAGGGCTTACGGCGAAAGGGCAAATTGGGCATCTACCGGCAGCCGACTCAACGGCCGTGACCAGCCTGTATATGTCAAGGTCGGGTTTATACGTGCAGCGCTGCTGGTAACGCGCGCCGCATCTTCTAGGCGTTGCTGCCGCTCCAATTAGAGCACGACGTCATTTGTGGAGGTGCATGGCGATCGCGTGGTTCAGCCCCGTTTACGCAGCCACACCAATATATGCAAAACTCAGGGACGACCGGTGTCTTCTCTATGAGACGTTGCACAAAGGATGATGCCGCTATTCGATGACTGTGGCAAAGATATGGTATATATCACTAGGAATTACATATCATGCCCCACAGAGATTGCTAGTACGAGGCTGCTGGTATATTCTATGGGCTGAGCTTTATCACGGCTTTGCCAGAGCAACATCTATAGCCCATGTAACATTCGGCACATCCTTCTGCAGCGCAGCCACAATTTCTTTCCACGCCCTCATTCTGAGCTCGTTCATCTCAAGGCCTTGCAGACATGGTGGGATTGGTTGGATCTTGTCGCTCTTCCAAAACCTTCCGTGTACCTTCTCCCCCTGCACTGTCCCGCTCAACACCGTATTCGCCCCTACGGGCGGTGTTCGCATAAATAAGAAATAGAACAGAAAAGCTAGAATGTGAATACCCGGGAAGAAATGATCCCGGCCAATATCTGTTTGGACCCAGCCCGGACAAACGCTCGTCACGATTACGTCGCCAGAAGAGATTTCGTCGGCAAGCTTCGTGGCGGCGTACATGAGGAAGGCTTTGGAGAAGCTATACTGGCTTTGCGCTTTGCGATGCTCTCGCTTGTTGTAATGATCGAGCACGCTGGGTTCCTGGCGGACTTCTGGTGGAACTACAGCTTTCTGGTGGAGACCGGAGTTGACAAACTCAAGAACTGGAATCCTACCCGTGTACTGCTTTGATTGTTTTAGCTTAGGCAGAAGCAGGATAGCCAAGAGTGTCGTAGAGAGAGTATTGGTTTGTATATCCTCTTCCCAGCCATATTGCGATTGATGGTAATCGACCCGCCAAACGCCAGCATTCAGGATAACTATGTCGAGGTGCTCAAGATCGTTTGCACGATTCGCAAAGGCTTCCACACTGTCATACGACATCATATCGAGTTTCCAGACCTCGAATTGACCCTTCCGCCCAAGCTGAGCTTCTAAATCAGCCCGGGTTGATTCTCCCTTTGCTAAATCTCGTGCTCCAATGATCACCTTGGCCGCCCCCAGTCTCGCAAACTTGAAAACTGCCTCTTTACCGATGCCAGATGTCGCACCAGTGACAATGATGTTTCTCCCAGAAAAGTCCTCGTGCACCTCTTTTGGTGAGTTAAGCCATTTTTCCTTAAATACGTTGATCATGGCAGCCATGGTTGATACGGATGGAAGAGCTGCAAGTGCAAGCCATCAGGATACGTGACTGGATATGCAATTGCAGTGGATATGCGAGAAACAGAGGGTGAAAAAGAAAAGAATAGCATACACTTGATTGAAGCCCTGCCGTCAATGACGCGGCGTTACTCGGCTCCGATTCGTCCGCTATGACCTGGTACAGTCCTGGTCTCGACCGGGCCATAGTGGTGGTTAGACGAACAATGAAGGAGTATCACGATTGAACAGCTGAAGATGCGGCCAAATGCTTACTATTCCGTCTTATTCAAAGTTTGGCTCTTTTGGGATAGTACATTAAACTTTATTGATGGTCAATTGTTAGTTGGATTGGAGCATGAGTAGCGAGAGGCGTTCTTCTTGTTCTGTTGAGTGTATTAGTACGTTGATCTACAGGACGATCAGCGAGTATGTAGAAAACAAAAGGAAAAGACACAGAAGCCAGTTCTGTGCAGAAAGACAGACGACTCGAGCAGCAAGAGTTGCATCTCCTGGTGCGATGACTAGCGCGGGCTTGGCATACGCGAACCGTTGGCGATTTCGGGCATCCTCAACTACGTAAACAGCCAAGGTGAGAGCACACAAAGCAACATTACAACACCTCGCCATGATAGCGCCCTACCAATCGCCCACTCGCAGCCGCTAAGCAAAAGACTACAAAAACAATACCACCTTTGCTGCAATTGAGCAATCTTCTCCCCCGCCATGGCCTTCAACAACCAACAGCAGCCGCCCAGAGGCCCCGCGGCCGCTGGAGGTAACCCGGACTTCAACGCCATGCTCCAGCGCTCCATGCAGGCGCCGGGCAGCCAACTGCAGCCGCAAATCTCTGAGCTTCCTCGCGGGCCGTCGCCAGGTATGGGTGAGGTTGATCCGCCCTCGAAATGTCGCATGGCGCAATACTAATGCAACTACCGCAGGCTACGAGGGCGTATACAGTGCCACACCACCACCCCAGCTGTCGCAGCAACAACAACCACATGGACCCAACGTGCTCGGTGGAGCGCGTGGCGGTCTTCCGCAGCCGATACTCCCCGTCGACCTACCACCGCAGGCCTTCTTGACGTCAGCCATGCTGCTAGACATGGTGGACAGTACGCGCACACTTTTGTATGGCGTACTCTGGAACAGCACGTTGACACTGTACAGAGAAGGTTGATGTATTGCTCCGCGACGAGAAAGAGTACATTGGCATCCTACGTTCCTACGACCAATTCGGTATGTCTGCGTGTGCCAGCCTGCTGCTTTCCAGACCCATGTCAGCTAATCATGCACGTAGCAAACCTTGTTCTCACAGAATGCTACGAGCGAATAGCAGCACGCAACCCCGACGCAACACCTTCCTCTGACCCCTCGGTCCCCCGATGGCTGATAAACGATGTCAAGCTCCCCGGCGTCATGACTGTACGAGGCGAGAATGTCACCATATGTGCGACTGTTGACCTCGACCGGGAAGAGCATCCCAGGGGCGCCAAGTTCGCAGAAGAGGATCAAGTGAGGGCGTTGGCAGCGTCACAAAAAGCAGAGAGGAAGGAGATAGACTCACGGCGAGCAAAAGCCCTAAGGCAAGCAGGCATTGAGCCCGGGTTTGGTATGCAAGGATGATCAGTAGGGTTGAGTCTTGTAAGCATAGAAAAAAGGGAAGGGAAAAAACATGTCGATCATGAAATGGATAAGTGGTAGGCTCAAGAGCCCTGGATAGCTACGTTGGCTGGTTACGATATCAATGATACCAGGACGCCATGTCCACCTGCGATGAAGCAACACTCCTGATTTCTTGGCTCCGCTATTGAGGCATTTCAGGCATACAAACACTGTCTCCACATGGCCATAATAGTATTTGTCCATGTTCAAATAGCGGAGCTCTATGAGTGAACCTTGTCTTGAACATGTGACGTAATGTGATTGGCGCACACCGCATCAAATATGGATCTGCTGATTTGCAGTAGTCTCTAGTAGTGATCAAGAGAGGAACAGAAAAACAAACTATACTCGTCTTCCCCAGACGGCGTCGGAAAGCGGGGTTGAGTTTGGCAGTGTGCTATACGTGATCAGGGTCTGAGCAACGCCCACCTTTTCCCAGCTTCCACGCCTTTCCATACGAACCTGGTATAGCTATTATGTATGGTTGTGAGCATGGAAAGCATTGAGTAAGCGCTTTCACAGCACGGGTGGAGGCTTATCAAGCTAATCGACACCGACTTTTGGTAACCGTAGCAGGTATCAGCAAGCTCCCCAACGCGACACCCACGGCTAGGTGGTTATAGAAGTCAGATCGGCATGCCTCCTTGTGTAACCTCAGTTCTCATCGAAGCGGAGCGGGTATCGCGTCTCGAGTGGGATATGTAGCGGGGGTGGTGGGAAGCGAGTAAGCGCCTATGGTGAATTGTTTTTGTGTAGAGAGGTACAGGGTCCGTTCCGTAGCCGGTTCACCATGCGGTCCGTCGCAGAGTGAGTCTGGAGAGATATAAGGTCGGGGCGGCGGATTGCGTCGCGTTACCCAAGGCGCCTGGCTTAGCATTCTATGCAAGTTGGCGGCTTCTACTTACCGTCAAGTGCTGGTAAGTTTCATTCCACTAATGCACGTAATTGCCGCTTCCGAGCAACGACACCTGTCGGGCAGCTGCATCGAATCCTGTCAAAGCGCTCAATGATGTCTGTATGCTATCAGCAGGCATTGTGTGAACTTACACAATGAATATTGTTGGATATCGCACAGCATGGGAGCATGTCGTCGCCGTCGACTTGCTGGGGAGCAGCAGCTATGACCATACGGCTTCAAGCCATCTCCCCAAGCCCTGGGTGGCGGCTCAAGAGAGTGAGAGACCATGAACAGTTTCTCTTATCCCATCAAAAGCTATTGAGCAGCTTCGATACGCCTGGTACAGTCGAGGCAAGGCTATCTTGCCTTATTGGGCTTCTCCAAGAGTGTAGAAACGGTGTCGGCGGACGGCGGAGGTCACATCCGAGGCGACGCGTGCTTGGGGACGAGCGATTTGAGAGTTTATTGAGGCTTCGTGCAAGCAAGACTGATGAAAAGCTGGATGAGTTTGGAGTGTACGATGCAGATAAGCCGAACAGCACATGATGACATGGTCGGCAGCGGCGCCCGGGACACTTGCTACATTCCAACTGACCTCGCATGACGGCAAAATACAAAGGACGCGTTGGATTTGGGTGAGCAGGACGCATGCAATGCATCTGTCGAAGGAGGCTGCGACGTACAAGAGTTTGATATCAGAGGGTGCGGGTGTGGCAGCCGTAACGACATGGATGAGGGGAGTACTAATTGCTAGGGTACCATACTTTCGAGGAAGGCGCGCTGGACTGGTCCTTCTTCTTCACCACCATTCTTTCGTCACTCTACTTTTACCATCAGCTTTTTATCTTGCCCATCAGTTTGCGGAGTACCAAGGCGTTGTTGAGCCATCTCCATCGCCACCCATGTTTGCATAGGCAGACACGCATCTCCATCCTCCAGCCCGAACAGCCCTACCCGACCCTTTGCAACAACAAACCGACGGAAGCCATTCGACACGAGTCTCCATTGATTCTTGCAGGCTCCAGGCTTTGATTAGGAGATAAAATGAGGCTTCCGGTTTACACTATCGTTGGGCCTACCGATCAGGCATTGGGCAATTGCTCGACTTGATGGATTTTTTTGGACGTGCTAACACGTTCGGCGAACTCAACTGGCGGGAGTGACCTCCCAACTTCTTAGCGGACGACTAAGTCACAACGAATGAGCCGTTCGATATGTTGCCTCACTCTGCGTCGTGGAAAATTGCGCGGCCTACACACGCACACCACTCCCATGTTGTCCGTAGCCCCTGACTTACGAACACGCCAGCCTAGCACGAGCCTGGGACAGAAAAAAAAAGACATGTCCATCTGTCAGCAATGAGAGAAGGTTGTAAGGAGACAACACGGAAAATGAAATCAAGGGCAAAATTGAGAAATGTACGAGACACAGCTTTGCACCGCGATTATTCCGACTCTTTCTATATTTGACCAGAGACACAACGCACTAAGACAGACCGCTACCACGCCAAGCGACAGTTGCATGTCGTGCATCAATCAACTACGGATAGCCATCATGAGAGGATTGAGAATCGTGGGAAAGCGTAGGCACACGAAGAAAGCGAGACATGTTGAAAGTATGCAAGAGTTGGGCCTAAAAGCGCAAACCCTGAGCACTGCCTCGGCTACGTACCAAGACTTTACCACTCAGCAAGACGTCTGTCCCGCTCGGCGCAGCTGTTTCCAATTGTGCGGCTGTTCAAGGCCCTGTTGGCTGGATATCTATAACCCCTGGGGCTTGTCGGAGCCTGGTGCGACGGCCTCACCAAGAGTATCTCTGCAAAATTCATGACAATTCGTCTCCTCTTGGGGCGCTCATCCGGGCTGGCCCGTTCGCTTTGTTCCCATCGGGCCACGTTGCTCCTGGGCTCAGGCTTGGATACCAAGCAGTCGAAAGTTCCGTTGTCGACCATTGAACACGCACTGTAAAAGACAGGATTCCTTCGGGGCTGCACAGGTTCTAAACATCTCGTATTGGATCGTATGGGCGAGTCTCGCTTGGCGAATACTCGGTTCGCTGTGGGCTCGAAGACTTTACGCTACCGTCTGAAGGTGCTTGGGCAGTGTGGACATGTATTGGCGAACCCGGTCCTGACCCTGAATTCGTACCTGGTATTCCTTGTAGCATGCTGCCTGCTTCTGTGCAGTCGTCGAGGTCAGCTAGAGTACGGTTGGACAGAGTTTGCCTACCTGCCCGCCAGGCCACGTCTATAGGGAGAGTTGCGATTGCACGTACCGTACTTGCGTTGAATATCCCGGAGGAGTTGCGACACGCGCCACTTCAAAATAATCATCTCGACTGGCGGAATACCTTCAGCACTTAGTCGGGCATTGATCCTCTCCAGCATCTGTTCCTTTTCGTTGGCGGGGATGAGGATCCATCTTTTCCAGTCTGGATGCGCCTCAGCAAGCTGCCTCGCCTCGTCTTTTGTTATAAACTAGCAATATTAGCCCGGCTTACCCTTGCGACCAGAGCATACTCACGTAAAAACGGTCCCATTGCTCCTGGCTGTGGTTTGCAGCTGTTCGGGCCTCCTGGACCGTCGCATTTATCCGAATGCTCATAGTGACAGTACGGCCTGGGACAACGACGCCCAAAGCAATGCCAGCCAGTCTCTGGATTCACGGAAAGCAAGAGAAGCAGGAGATTTGAGGGCACCGCGGTTCACCCCCCGCTTCGTTCTAGCCTTGGCAGGACTTTGTTTTTGGAGAGGCTGAGGTGAGGAACTGTGACAGTGCTCGCAGGGCTCGGGCCAGAGAGAGTGTCGGAATCGGCGGTGGCTGAAATGCTTGTGCGTCATATCAACTGGCATCATTGGCAGGCAGCAGATTCAAGTAGGAACGGCAATTTCTCATGCCTTATTGCTTTTCTACCTCGTCATGCAAGAAGTGGCTTCTCGTGCAATATTGACCTGGTGGTGAGGCTTCGGACACAACCAGACCAGCTCCCGCCATCGAAATTGATGCCGTACGCCCACCACTTGAATGCCCAAGCACGGACATTCGGTAGCGTTCGGCAACACGATTGCTCAGTAGTTTCAAACTCGAGGGCGATTGCTATTCTGTTTACGGCTGGTCATCACAGTCAGGAGTGGCACAAATACAACGCACGCCATCTTCTTCGAGCCGCATACAGCCCAAAGCAACCGATCCCGCACGGCCATGTCTGACCAACAAGGAGGCCATCCAGGAGGTGCCAGCATCCTTGTCCGCGAGCGCCCTCCGCCGCTGCCGAGCGCGGAAAATTCGATACTGTATGCGTTCGGCCGCTACCTGGTCGATCAACCGTGTGCGCGGACCCGGGGTCAGACTTGGAAGTCTAGGTCACATTTCCGGCCCTAACCGGCCCGAGCCTCAACGTGCAGCACGTCCCAGGGCCATCCTGGAGAAAAAGAATTCAGTGCGTCACAGACGACTATTGTGGTTGGAGTGCTCACTATCCAAGTTTCCCTGGACCATGTCCCCGAATCTAACTCTGAAACGTACCCTGGAGTGACGGCCTCCGGGCTCCGTCTAGTACCACCTCACGCTTCCTTTCATGGCCAGCACCAGGGCGATGCTGTGGGGGCATAGCCGGCACGGCAACTTACACCGCGCGCTTTTGGCCTGTTTCACGCGCCAAATGCGCCACGACTCGCGTGGGTCTAGCACAGGCACAGGTAATCCCAGACTCGTGGTCATCGTCGTCACACTGTTGCCAGTACTCTGGAGGCGCCACGCGACAGCACTAGACTCAGATCTTTGACATTTATGCAATGCTACACAGACGTCAGCGCTGCCACGCACAACCAAGGCGCGCGTTGTACAGCATACGACTGCGTGCGCGATATCCAGCAAATCGACGTGGACTGCATCATCGAGCGTGGGATTTCCTATATGGTCCATTCCGGATTGGCGCCGTCCTACGTATGCCCAAAACATCGTGAGCGCCGAACGTCTGTCCGACCATTGAATCAACTTCTCACGTCCATTTTTCACCGCTAATCTCATGGCTGACATTTCCCTGCGTGGCACACATGACCCCCACACCACCACGGCGCTCTGTTGGCCGTATATAACTGCCGTCATACTGCGAGCAATCTGAGGAAATGGGTTGAGTAATGTTCCTCGAGCCTCGTAAAAGCAATGACATTAAAGGAATAACGGGGATATGGGTTCCCCCGAGGGCCGGCACATACCCGCTCTTGTGGAGATGAAAGGACCAGGATCGACTGTTCATTACCCCTTGTCCTGGTGCCCGATACGAAAACGTCGCGACACAGCCACAGCTCACGGTTCCTAGACACTAGTGATTGGTGTCACGTTGGAGTCTTCTATACTTTCTTCTTCGAATATTACAAGGAACTTTTGGTACCTGCACCCGCATCTCCACTTTGGCGTGCATGCAGACGTTGACTACAAGTGCGTTGCTGCAGCCTTATGTACTCGGAAAAGAGAGCGCCTTGAAGCAGACGGGCGCATACACTTCTTTTTCAAGCTCCTTCTTACTGGCCTTCACCTGGAGTTCTTCCCATTGCAACAAGCCGATTCGTGCTCGTTGCGCACATCCTTGCCAGCGCCAGATTCGGATTACGCGGCATTTGGTTATGACCATTTTTCTGGGTGGTGTGCTTGATCGTTTAGGACTTTCTTTTTTTCGTGGCTATCATCACACTCATTTCGTTATCACGACGCATAATCTCAAACGAAAACACTGCTCCGACCACTCCAAAGGCAAAGATCCTTAGGAAAGGTAACATGCTTTCCATACGATACACAGTCGTACTCACAAACCTCTTTTCATGATGTGATTTTGTCGCAAGGCTGAGATACCACACTCAAACAGGTGTACCAGACACATTGGGAGTTTTTGTTCCGACAGCCACACCATTCCAATTTGCGAGGATGCTTAGTTCTAACCACATAGAACCTATCTTTGCCATATATAGTCGACCAGTCAATGTACGAAAAACTTACCGTGTACGGAACGGGAACTAAAGCCTGCGTCCAAAGCCGGTCAGCACTCAGAAAAGACAAGAGCTATTGCAACCAGGGTGACCGCTGATCTGTGACTAATCGGGTTGACAGGCATTACTGTTTGAGAATGTCGATGTGGAATTCACAGAATAGTTCGAGCGCTCATGTCAGGCTAACATGGTTGCGGAAAACCAGACCGTAGTCGTTTCAGCCAATACATATCACTAAACGAGTCGCGTCGATTGTGTTATATTTATGGTACGAACCTTGCTCGTTGTTATCAGCAGTCTGAAACTGGTCGTCTTGTTAACGACTAGGGCTCCAATCTATTTACTGTGCTCGGGTGTGATCTCCGGACTTGCAGCAAGGATTCTTAACCGCGGTGAAATTTAACACTTTCGTTTTCACGTGTATACTTGGCAATACTCGACTTCCACAACGGTAAGTCTCTAATGCACCAATTATTGGTATTATAGTATAACTGGGCTACTATATGACGCCACAACTTGTAGAACTTGTTCTACTCCATGTAAAAGAAGCATATGATATGACCTCATTCGAAGTGGGGCATGCGATACTGCCGTGTGCCGAGTACATTGATGAAGTTGGTAAAATGCAACATGTTTCTCTCTTTAAAGAGACTATACGGCACAAGCTCAGAGAGCAAACACTGGACTTGTAATCATGAAACTGCTTCCAATACTCTGTTTGAGCGCAACTGCTGCTGCACTGCCGGCATCAGTTGATGTTTCTGCCCGAGCATCCATTTCAAAGGTTGACGGCCTGAAGTTCAACATCGATGGCACAACCAAATACTACGCTGGTACAAACTCGTACTGGATGCCCTTTTTAACCAACGACACCGACGTTGACATCATCATGAGCCACCTCGCCGCCTCCGGGACCAAGATCCTCAGAGTATGGGGCTTCAACGACGTAGAAGGCGAGCCTGATCCCTCCAGCGTCTACTTTCAATCCTTCTCCGGCTCCACCGCCACCATCAACACGGGCGCAAACGGCCTCCAACGCCTCGACGCTGTGGTCGCCTCCGCCTCAACCTACGGCATAAAACTAATCATCCCCTTTGTAAACAATTGGCAAGACTACGGTGGCATGCACGCCTACTTCCGCGCCTGCGACGTCCTCATCCACGCGCAGTGGTACACTAAGGCTGAATGCCAGGCCATGTATCAGGCCTACATCGCCGCCGTCATATCGCGGTACCGCGACTCACCTGCGATTTTCGCATGGGAACTCGCCAACGAGCCGCGATGCAGGCTGTGTCCTACGTCCATACTTACAAACTGGATCAGGCAAACAAGCGATTACGTTCGCTCGCTAGACCCTGAACACATGATCACTGTAGGCGATGAAGGATTCGGACTTGAAGGCGGTCCGTGGTTCCAGTATCCATACTGGTATATTGAAGGCATAGACTGGGCTGCTAATCTTGCTCTGCCGAATATTTCGTTTGGCACGTTCCATCTGTATCCCGAGCATTGGCTTGTCGGCGGCTCGTTTGGCGACGAGTGGATCACGTCGCATGCAGAGATTTGTGCACGGATTGGGAAACCGTGTTTGCTGGAGGAATACGGGGTTTCGAAGAGGGAAGAACAGTGTGCAGTGGAAGGGGCATGGCAAGAGACTAGTTTAGGGCTCGGGGGAAGTGGTATGGCGGGAGATTTGTTTTGGCAGCTAGGAGATACGGTGGTGAGTTCGGGGGAGGCGACGCATGATGATGGGTTTACGGTATACTACGGGAGTGAGCAGTGGAAATGTTTAGTTGACGAACACGTTGAATCTATTGGGTGAGAATAGGAGCATGGTGGGCCCCTCTTATTTCTCACATGAAGGTACAGTAAGAAGACGCGCAGTCATTATCCTAATTCATTTCGCGCGCGAGACTCTTATGCGCAGTAACATTTAAGGTCCCAATTAATATAACTATGTTTTTTCTTCGAAGAAAGTACGAATACGCTTATCTGCGCCTACTACTAGCTGGAGTCGCCTTCCACTCAGAACGATAATAGGTCGCGCCTTTTTCTGACGTCAAGCCCGCTAAAAGGAGGGGCTCTGTGGCACTGACCACCAATATTCTCAGCTTAATGTACTACCACACGACTACGCCACATCGATTGCTGTAAGCAAGGGATTCAACTGTGCCCCCCCCCACGAACCAACACCCTTCATTTCCGCTTACAAGTACCTCTGCACAGCCTGGCCCACTGGGTCTTTTGTTTGCCCCGTTTACTCGGTGCACGTAGCAAATTCCCAAAGGAGGCACACAGCGCCGTCTGACAGGTATCGCGTAGTCAAGATGCGCACAAAGCGTAAGGCCAGCTACGCACTACAGCTACGCACTACCGCTCTACCGGCCCATGGGCGGGGGCCGCAAATCCAGGCCTGACAAAGACCAGATCTCGACTGGAATGCCGCAGTCTGGGAAAGGCGTGGGTGTGATATTTTGGGGGCTAGATGTGCCTTAGGCGCCACAAAGACGCACAGTCTTACAGTAGCACGCAGCACGCAGCAAGCAGCCGCCCGCCGAGCGCCAGAGCTGAAGAAATGCCCAAGATTGGCGGCGGAACAATAATTGCTAGTAGTCTTGCGGTAATCCCCCGCCAGCCCTAGCCTCTCAGCCGGGAAGCGGCTGAACGCTACATACCTCGTTTCTCTCCATTGCTGATTCTACATCTTTAACCTGAAACCATCCCTTTGTTTCCTTCTAGTGTATGGCTGTGAAACAGTACTTGTCACCCCCTACTATCGCCTGTTAAGCCACACATATCCAGCCCTTGGTTCTAGCAGGGACTTTGTCTATCTACCAAAACATACGAACTCGACGCAAGCCACCTGCTAATGCGCGCTGCCGCTTTTTCGGCTGTAAGACCAGGCTGAAAAGCTCGCAAAAGGAGAATCAGCAAAGAAACGAGGCGTAGGGATATATACGCTTGCATAGGATGGCTGACCGTCGACCACTTATTCAAGAGACGCCAGATCTCTCTGAGAGTTCTGATAACACCCCCGCACTACCGTCTCTAGGCTTCTCCAGTAACCCTCCTGGCCTCGGATTCACTGGTATTTCGCCTACACGGCCAAGCTACGCTCGCTACCAGAGCGACTCGACGGCTGTGAGTCGCAACACGCCGAGTATCGTGCAAGAAGAGGATGAAGAAGACGAAGGCGACATCGCGCAAAGTTTCCAGCAAGGGGGGAAAGACACCGGGCTAGGAATTGCTACCACTGCAACCAGCGCCGTACCTCAGGCTGCCAGGCGCGTCAGTATCCAGCCTTTCCCCCGTCGAGCCGCTGGCCCTGGACCCAAAAGCCCGCCAGCAAAGAGCCCAGGTCCGCTCTCTCCCCTCAGCGCTACAGACCCTTATTTTGGACATTTCCCAAGGAGCTCAGCAGAATCGACGCCGGATCTCCGCCGAGAAAGGTTCAGTCCTGAGGTCGGGAGAGCGAGTCCCGTAGGCTCGTACGAGGAATTCCGGCATGGAATCTTGAAGAACGTGAAGCAGAATAGTAGCACGAGCGTGAACGACTACGAGAACTACATTCAGTCGTCAGATGCGCAAAGATTGAGAGGCGGTGGTGCGCCCTCGATTAAGTCGGCGTACGAGAATGATTTCCGCCCTGTGCACGAGTGTCCGACGACAAAGGACTTTTATCATCCAAAGTTCACGTGGCTGAACTTGTCGATCTTCATGATCTGTCTCTTTTCTTGCGTCTTTTCTGGTATCTTTTTGGCGCTTGCAATCCGCGCTCCGCACTATGGACGGCGCATAACGAGTCACGGACCCATCACTCCGTCTGATGCCATTTTGATCACGACCGTCATGGCAAAGTTGATCGAGCTGTCGTTTGTCACGGCTTTTGTCACGTTTCTCGGGCAGGTGCTCAGTCGACGAGCATTCATGAAAGACCACGGCCGTGGCGTCACACTCTCGGAGCTCAGTATGTGGCGATGGGTAGTCCAGCCAGGCACACTGATCACATCGTGGGAGTCTGCCAAATACGCTGGCCTATCCTTTCTGGGGATACTGAGTTTACTAAGCGCTATATTAGCTACGCTGTATTCTTCTGCTGCCGCATCATTAGTGCAACCAATGTTGCGAGATGGAAACTGGGATAACGGTCTCGTGTTGGCTGGCCGTGTCAAGAGCGACTTTGCTAATATCAATTACCTCAAGCAAATGTGCGAGACGCCTATTCGCACGGATAAGGAGCACCAGGGCGAAACGTGCGTGCAGCTGGAACATGCGGGCCAGGGCTACCATAACTTTCAGCGCTACCTGTCCGACTGGGATGTTGCTGCTCGAAACGGAAATGGGAGTTCAGATTTGCGGCTGAGGCCACAGGGATTCGGGCTCTTGTATGAGAATACGACAGTGACGGGCCAGTGGATCAATATCATTAATACAACAGAAGTGTCGAAGAAGTATGGTCGCGTGATTAACAACATCACAATGGCGATGCCGCATGCTGGCGTATTTGCAGCGGCACGAGATGAGCGCAACGGGATACTGCAGCCGGCAGAACTTAATTCGGAAGGGACGTATTCGCTACGGGCGGCAGTGCCGTCGCCCGTGATTAATGTTTTGTGTGTTAATTTGAACAAAACGGAGCTGGAGCCACTTGTGTACAGCGAATGGCCAAACGATGATACTGTCAACATCACAACATGGGTCACTACGCCAGGCATTAGAGATAGAGCAAGTACGCAGAACAAGACGGTGGTCGATGAGCTGTTTGGATGGGACGGCAATGATACGACAACGTTAAATTGGCCGCCAGTGTTTGGGAGGTACCCAATTCCCTTCAACACAATACTCAATCATACGAGCAATGCATGGGGCCGGCCGGCGATTTACCTGCTTGGGCAAGGCGGACCAGACGACATGGGTAGAGACGGGACGGGCATCTACTCTGTATGCAAGCTTCAAGTGTCGATTATGCCTGGGTGCAGCACACGCCACAACGTAACGGGATCGGGCGGGAGCATGGAAGTACTGTGCGAAGACCCAAAGGACAAGATGGCGTTTCGAGAAACAGGAGAAACACCGAGTAAGAACACGTTTGGCGTGGCTAATTGGCGCGATGTCGGGACGGACTGGGCGAATAGCCTTTCGCTAGGCACGGGACTCATGGATGCAAATGCGAGCACGTCGAGGCTGCTGACGCAGTTCATTCTCAAGCCGGATAATGCTGATGCAGACAATCTTAAAGTCGAACTAAGTCGTGCGCTGCCGAGTATGGCGGAGGCGCTAGCGGTGCTGTCGAGTTGTACGCTACTGTTGAGCATGGTGGATACGCCGTTTGTGACTACATGGGTACGTGAGTTTTGATATGTAATGAGACACAAGATATCTGACGATCGTCACAGGATTACACACATCCCGCGCTGGATGAATACCAGACGCAATACTTTAATGCGTCGCTCAAGGCTCAACAGTACGCATCGGGTGGCATGCCCGGAGCCTCCAAAGCTTGGATCATTATTCTCGCGTTGGTTTTTTTGATGAATATTTTTGTTCTCATCTACTTCACCCTGCACCGCGGTCTCGTGACGGACTTTTCTGAGCCGCCCAACTTGTTTGCACTGGCAGTCAATTCGCCGCCTTCACATGTGCTCGCCGGGTCGTGTGGCGGCGGGCCTCAGGGCAAGCAGTACGGGGTCAACTGGTTCGTCAACCACGAGGGCAGCCATCTGTACATGGAGCCAGGCGAGAAAGCACCTCTGATGGGCGGATGTGAAGATGGGCATGTGCACACACGAGCAGCTGGTCAGGGCATGGGCAGAGGAGTCAGCGGTTTCATGGCGTCAGTGACAGAAACGGTGAAACGCGGGCTAGGGCTCAGAATAGAACAGAGGCCAGCCAAGCTGGGGTCAGTTAGTGGCGTGGAGAGTTTCCGGCCGGCAGTTAACACGCTGAGACGGGGCAGCATTCCGTCCAACTATGAGATGGAAGACGGGCTGACGAGGACACGGCGGCAGTACCAGAAGCTGTCGAAGAGGAGGAGCGTGCTGTGAAGGGGCGGGACGGGAACATGTCATATTATGTCGTGTAGAGCAATGGACTGGCATGCAGCATAGAGCCTGTTTGTTTCCCCAGATTGGCACTGGGGGTTCCCTGGTCGGGCGGGCGGGCTGGAGACGGGAGCGGTGGTGCGAGGAGCACGAGTGGAAGAGTGAATGAAGGTCGGCGGGGCCCGGAGCCGGCTCGGGAAGCTTGGCAGATTGGGGGCAGGCGGGCAGGAATAAGCGAGTGGTTCGGCGACTAGGCTGCAACGGGCAGGCCAGGTGGGCGGTAGTGTGTGCGTGAGTGTGTGTGTGTGTGCGTGCGTCTGTGTCTCTTGGGCCTGGGCGGCCGCCGTAGTCTGTCTGGCTGGCATGTGAACATGGAACTTCTCATGCGCGCATCCGCCCGACTTACTACCTTCACCACTGCCCTCTGCGCCCAAGCACCCCCCGCGAGCCACGCCCCCCGCCTCGCTCTCGCCTGTTGAGCAAGCTGCTGGATATGCCCCGTCCCGTAGATATCCCAAAAACTTGACCCCGACGCGGCGCCGCCAGCAGTCGCCGTCAAAGCCACAACAGAAGCCACTGCCATTGCGATCCGCCCTACTTCTTCACGTCATACCGCGCCAAACACTTCCCAACAACGCCCCGATAGCCTCAATCGCAGAGCCTCGCACCACCACCGCCGCTGGACCGGCCCGCCGAATGCGCTAATCTTGTCTCCGCCCCCGGCCATTCGCCCTCGTCCCTCGACCCTCGTTCCTCGTCCTCACCACTCTCCACTCTCAACCCTCCGTTCCGTCCTTCTGCCCGCCCTCCAACCTGGCGGCACTGTCGCACCAGTCGTTCGCGGGACTCGCGGGTTCTACGGCCACAGGCCTCCCTCGTCCCGCCATGAACGACAAGGACCCGCCGCCATTTGGCTGTATGCTGCCCCAGCTCCCTCCATCACCGCCACTTCTAGCACTGACAAGCCCGGTCCAGACACCTTCTCCGACGACTTCTTCGACAACGCGGCCCCTCACTATGACAACAATGGCCCCTCGCTGCTCAGCGACATGGAAAACCAGCAGCTCGACAACTTCTTCTCCTCCACCAACCCTTTCGACCTGCTCGACCCCCAGCACATACCCCCCGCCCTCAACGACAAGTCCACCGCCCACGACTACAACAACTGGGAGGACTTCATCGCCCCGCCCACCGTCCACCGTGTCACCAGCACCATACCCGACCAGGCCCGTCTACAGACCACCTTCCAACAAGAACCCCACCACGCTTCCTCGTCCTCGCTCCACGGCAGCTTCCTGGCAAACACCCAGGATGAGCTCCAGGCAGCTGCCACCCTCTTCAACCACGCCCAGCCCTCGTATACAAACGGCCGTCTGCACAGCTTTCCTGAGCAGCCGGCTGCGGCCACCAATTTCATGACAAACGTCGCGCCCGGCCTGAATCACGCTCATCTGCCAATGAGCGTCCAACCACACGGCCTCATGAACCAGCGCATGCCCTCGCTGTTGCCAAATCACGGTGGACATGCCCTAGACCCCCAGTTCCCGCCGCAGTGGACAAACAAGGCCCCGCAGCACACCCAACCAGACTTTGGTCCGCCGTTGCAGAAGATTGACTTAAAGAGGTCTTATACTTTTGGCACAGACAATTCATTCAATAGTCCATCCGGGTACTCGGGCGCAAACGGCCGCTCGGCCGAGCACAGCGCGGCAAGGCATTCCATTAATGATGTAGAAGAGACCCACCAGCATATTTTACGAGCAGTGGCAGGCATTGATACCGTACGCACTACCTCGGCTGCATATCAAGACTCATCATCAGCCGTTGCCGGTGCATCACGCGACGATGACGACGACGAGCAGTCTGACGACTCCGCATCTCAGGAAGAGCATGACGACCGACCAGCAAAAAAGCGGAAGAAGTCCATGGCGCATCCTGGAAAGGAAACCCCGAGAAAGGCTGCGCGCAATGGAAAAGCTCGCAAGACGTCGCTTGCAGATGAGAGTAAGAAGAAGCGGGCTGCAACAAGTACCCAAAAGACACATCGCGAAAATTTGACCGAAGAGCAAAAACGAAACAACCATATTCTTTCTGAACAGAAGCGCCGCGATTTAATCAAGCAAGGCTACAAGGACTTGAATGAAGTTGTGCCTGCAGTTCGCGGTGGTGGGCTGAGTAAGAGTCAGATCTTGGTCGAAGCAGCAACGTTTTTGGAAAAGTTGATCGAGGACAACATTGCATATCGGAAAGTGACAGGGTGATGAGAGATGAAAGCAAAAAAAAAAGTTCTACCTCGCCTGCAACCGACATGAGCATATGAGTTCAGTTGGGTGATGCCTGTTGCATTGATGACTATCGATGCCACGAGTGCTCCGCGGTGATTGACTATGAGGGAAAGGAAAACCTGGTTTTTTGGGTACCGGTTATTAGATGAAAAACATGTCTTTTTAAGGTCATGGGCACAGGAAAGGCGAAAGAAAAACAAATCTCACTGGATGCATTTTGCGCAATCCACAGAGATGAAGGATTCACTCGGTATGAATCAGGAGTTTTATGGAGACTGCGATACCCCCTTCTCCCTTTTTATTTTTATATTGCTTTGTATGTTGGAAAGGCAGATTACATCTGCATACATAGAAAACCCATTTCTACCTGTTGAATATCTTTGAAGAGCAGGAAACGAAGAAAAAAAGGTTCTATAATGTTTGATTGCAATGGTTCCCTTAACATACACCACGAGATATCTTGTTCATCTTTCATTTCTGCTTTGGTCAAAACCCCAAACACCCAACTCCAGAAAGGTTTGAAAAAAAATAAGAAGAAGAGGAAACGGATCTATGCCTTACCCATTGCCGCCGCCGCAGCCGCCGTATTCATAACCCCTTCCTCAGGAATCACAATCCGCATCGCCTCATCCCTCACCCTCGCCGGCCCACTCTCATGCCCCCTCGGCACACCGGGTATCCTCTTCCCCTTCCCCATCTTCGCGCCTCCGGGTCCCAAATTCTTCTTAATCCTCGCCGAGGAATAATCGCAGCGACCATGGTCGTTGCAGTAACCCGTCTTGCACTTGTTATTGCTGCGGCACGAGGATCCCAGACAAGCGTCGGCAGAGGTACATGCGGCGCAGGAGCCCCAGTTGCAGTATTCGTCTGCGGAGCAGTGCGAGGGGGATGTGCAGGGGGCCGCGTGGTGGGAGGGTGGGAGACAGATGGGGGGTGGGGGGTTTGAGGAGGAGAGAGCGATGCGCGGGCGGAGGGAGGCGAATAGGGATGGGAGGGCGTCGGTGTGGCATGTGCCTGTTAGAGCATGTGAAAGTATGGGGCCGCGGTGTTGGGCCTCGTATTCTTGTTGTGAAGGGAGGGGTAAGGGTTCGTTTGGTATGCTTCTCTTGCGTTTCTGAGCCGGGGGTTGGATGGTTGGGCGGGCGGTGCAGGACTGGCATTTTCCGGCGGAGCAGAGGAGATGTGGTTGGCAGGGGGTTTTGGAGGTGCACATGTCGCCGATTTTGCCGGGTTGCGTCGAGTCGTTTGTGCAGATGCTGTTTTTGCAGAAGAGGTGCGGTAGACAGCCGTCTTGGGCGTCGCAGAGGTGGCCTTCGCAGCCGAAGGTGCAGTCGGATTGCTCGAGGACGAAGGGGTTCAGCGGGATTGAGGTGATGTTTGAGAGGCCGAGGCGCTGGATGGCGAATTCTTGCGTGTTTGAGTTTGTGAGCATTGAGCGCAGCTTTTGGGCGGTTTTTTCGTCTTCGGTCAGGGGCTTGATGGAGAAGGGAGGTGGGAGGTACGTGGACCAGTTGAAGTTTGAGCGTGCGGTTTGAGCAGCTTTCAACACCTGTTTGAGAGCGGTCCAGCTGGTGTAGCTGGGTTGAATAGGATTGATTCGGGCGGTCTTTCCCTCTTCGATGGTTGTGAGGTGCGAGTATAGCTGTTTTTGTTTTGTCAGTATATCTTCCCGATTCCTTTGCTCATTACTGGTGTAGGGCTGAAAGGGTTCTGGGAAAAGTGACGTACCCAAGGTATTCCCCTATAGTTCAATGCATTGCCCTGGTCAAACAAGGCTTCTTGCTTGTAAAACAGTCCAAAATCATCATTGTGCACGTAACTCCATTCCTCGACCAACAGCAATTTTCCATCGCCCTTCTTCTTACCCTTGGCGCGACCTGTTAGCGTATTTCCAGGCACAAACATATTCGCCCATGGCGTTCCTGCCGTGGCATCATGTTGCTTGGAGAAATATCCATGGATCCCGATAATGTCGATGGCTTTGCAGTCAAACACGCTGTCGGGGAAGTTCTGCCACTCATCTGGCTTCTGGGCGCCTGACACGCCGCCACTGATGACGGCAATGGAAGATGCATCGAGACCGAGTGTAAATTTCAAATGAGAGGCCATGTCGCAGATCCAGGACTCGCCAGCGGGAATGGGGAATATGCCGCTAAAAGGTTGATTCTGGATGTCGACGCCCTGCACAGGATTAGAAACCCACAAAGATTCACAGTTTGATTCAAGGAGATACTCACAAGAATGACTTCGGAGAGTGTGCCCCATGGACGTCCGTCGAAGTTTTTGGAAGGGTAGTGTTTGAAGAAGACTTCGAGACGAGTTTTGTATAGTTCTCGGTCTATCGAGCATAATTAATATTCTCTCCATGGAACGACAAAAGATTGACGACATACATTTATCTGAACTGTAGAAGTCGAGAAAGTATCCTCCGAGGTCCTTGCAGTATGCGTCGCAGGGAACATCGTTAGATCCCCGAAGTGCATGCGCGTCGTGCGGGGCAATAATGACTTTCATCTGGCCTGTACGCTTCTGTTAACATATGGAAGGGCAATTTCAGATAGTGCGGTGTATTGTACCCTTGGAAAGGTGGTGAATAGCCGCCAACGTGTCGTCGAATTGGTCAAGCAAGGACCTGTCAAAAGAGCCCAGTTCTGGCTCAGGCTATGTAGATTTGTCAACCAAGTGCCCTCTTTCTTGTCCCTGAGCACTTTTCTTACATCTGGATGGAGATCATCTGGGCGTACTATGAAATAATTAGCATATGATAAAAAATTTGAAAACAATCACATACTGAATAGCCGTATGACTCTTGCGCCGCTCTTGATGATTTCCTTAATAGTATTGTCTCTGTGCTCCGGTGCAAAGAATTGCAGCTGAGGATAATTCACACCACCAAAAGAATGATGATCAACCGTGATTCTCAAGCTGGCGGAGACTGGCTCCGTCAATGTCGCTAGTGACACCAGTGTCACGAGAAGAGTTGAAAAGATCATTCTTGCTCGGGAAACAGAAACAGATCCGTGACCAAATTTTCGAACGCTGCCTACTTCACACCATATAAGTCTTTTAGCAGCATGTGGACACGTATAGGCGATGCCGTACATGGACCTGTCTTCAGTAGCCGCTAGGTATAATGTTTACGATATTGAGGTTGCTCATATAAGTAGATTAATTGCGCTGCTTCGCGCAGCCAATCACGCGTCACACAAGGCTAAAGTTGGCAGGGATGTAAACTTTGACGACGGGAGAATGACATTGACTAGGTAAGGAAGACCATGTGAAAGAATTCAACATCGATCCGACTGACATTGCGGCTGCAATAGCCGGCGAGTCGCCTAAAAGAGACAAATAGCAGTGAGAATGGAAAGGTCGTGTGACCCAGAGCGATCAAAACATGCAATGCCGATTGAGAGCCACTTATGAATAGCCTTGTATAATGTGGAGCTGTTAGTTTGTTCCTGCTTTTGCCCAAATAGTCTTGAGAGGCGGGGTCCGCTTCGGGGTATGATACTTAGGCTCGGCGAACCGGCGCTGTACTCCGCATTCAAAATGATACGAGGCCTGGGAACAAGTAAGATTCCCGTTTCAGGTACGACGCTTCTGTGTCTGTGACCATATGTAGGTATCTATGCAAGACTTGTAGTCCCGCCGCAGCCGGCTCTTGTGGAGACATGTCTATCTGAGCTTATGTCTAGCGGTCATGCGTGGAGAAAAGACGCAGAATGGCTGCATTGCACCTGCAAAACCTGTCTCGGTGAATTGTTCACAAGAAACCAGACCAACGGTCTCTGTTCATGATAAGTTGCCTCGGGAATGGCTACCTCGGGCGGGCTTCATCCTACTGGCTTCCCGCATACAGTCTCGAGTTGTCGAAGAGCTACAGTGACTTCCTCTCCGAGACTATCACCACTGGTTGATGCAGGGAAGCGACCGTGTCGTAGGTCGCTGAGTGCGCCGACCACATCTTGCACCTCGCGCAAGACGTCTCTATTCTGTTGCTCTATCTCCGCAATCTGGGCCTCGAGACTTTGGCAAGCCTCTTCAATGTCGGAGTGGACCGTCTGTAGCGTGTGTGGTTTCTTGCGACCCTCGCCGGATAGCTGTGTATCGTGTAAGCAAGCTGGTGATGGTGTCGCAAGGCCGATGCACACAAACCTCTTGTTCCATCTGAAGTGCGATGGGGTCTAGTCCTGCAACAGTTGCATCGTCGACTTGACGCCTCTCGCGCGCATACTCGCGCCTCAGCTGTTTTGATCGCTTTACCTCATCGGCAATGTCCCGACGGACAAGCTCTATGTCCTTATCGCGCAATCGTTGGAGCTCTCGGTAGATGTCCTGGACAGCCGGGTTGGCACGATGGGCACGGGGGAATATGTCGGTGAACTCGCGCAGTGTGATGAAGTCGCGCAGAGGAGCCGGAGTTAGTAGAAAGTCACCCAGAATCTTGGCTTCTTGAGAGGGCATGGTCGGTATAGAGACTGTGCAGTGACAGGGCAGTGTCGTTGGTGGGCTGCTGGGAGAGGAGTCCTCCTGACAACGCGACGCGTGCTGGTCCGTGCGAGAAAAGACTCCCGTGAATCGCCTGCGACGACATCGTAGCAAACGTCAACTGATTTTGTGTGGCCGGATTCGTCGGTTGGTTCTTCATTTTGGTCAAAATCGGGATTCACGCTGTCGCAGTAGTCATCTTCGTAAGGCTAGTGGTACTCACAGGGGCACGCGATACGTGGTCGGTGAATCTCGCGCACCTTTTACGCCTTCCCTTCTGACTGCCAAACACTTCAACATCAAAATCGCCAGATATCATCGCAACCATGGCGCCAGCGGCTGCACCAGAGGCGACGTTCAGGAAAGACGAGAAAGTGTTTTGTTTCCATCACGAGCTGCTGTACGAGGCCAAGGTCCTTGAAGTCCGACCCGTCGAAGGCGACGAGAAGAAGAATGGCTTCGAGTACAGAGTGCACTATAAGGGCTGGAAGAACACGTACGTATATCTCAACTTACTCATTTCACGTCTACTCGCCGTTCCTGCATCTCCGATTGTTAGGTCATGTTTGCCTTGTCCCCCCATGCACTTCAGGCCCCTTTCGCAACCAGGATACCACTGCTTCCGAGACGGGCCTATATCATCTCAAAAACATGTAATCTGCTTATACACACTCTGTTGTCATCTTTGAGCGGATCTTTTAACACTCTGCAGCTGGGACGACTGGGTTCCCGAAGACCGCCTGCGCAAGCTAACCTCCGAGAACCGGGAGTTGGCTAACAACTTGAGACACGAGATGCTGGCTGCTCAACGCGCCGCAAGAGCTCAGCCCGCGCCCGCTAAGAAGAAGGCGCAGGGCTCAGTGCGTGGCAGTGAAGAACGACAAAGCTCTGTCACTGCTGCACCTCGTGGTCAGAAAAGGGTTCGCGACAACGACCTCGAAAAGGTATGAAGGCTCGGCGAAGCCAAGCGGCTTCTTTGCCTCGAGACGACCGGCTAACTGAACCCCAGGAAGAGACATTCCAGAACAAGCTGGCTGTCAGGATTTACATGCCCGACAGGCTGAAAAGTCTCTTGGTTGATGACTGGGAAAACATCACCAAAAACCTGCAACTGGTGCAGCTGCCTTCAGCGCATCCAGCGGGTGTGATCCTTGATGAGTATCAGAAATATGCCATTCAAACTGGAGCTCGCAGCAGCACCGAGCGCGACATTCTTGAAGAGGTGATTGCAGGTCTGAAAGAATACTTCAACAAGAGTGTTGGGCGTCTCCTGTTGTACCGCTTTGAGCGTGAGCAGTTTTACGACATCTGGACGCGCATTCAACAGCCAACTGATGAGCTTGCCGGAAAGACGCTCGCCGAGATTTACGGTGGCGAGCACCTTTTGCGCCTTCTGGGTAAGTCGTCTCGAGACCATGAATGATGTGATTATTAACCATGTGTCTTAGTTACAATGCCAGAGCTTATTGCTCAAACCAACATGGATCACCAGGCAGTTACTCGCTTGCGCGAAGAACTCAGCCAGATGACAACGTGGCTGTCCAAGGATGCCCAGATCAATACGTTCTTTGTGCCCACTTATGAGAGCCCAGGACAAGCCTACATTGACAAGGTCAAGTCGAGTACGTAGGAGGATGCCTGATTCGACCGCAAGAGACCAAGGGCCTCTAATCTGTTTTCCTGTTGAGTCACTCTGACGCAAATGTACTATGATCTGCTGCATGGACGTGGATACTGTTTGGTTGGCGCACTGGCGTTGTAGTTGGAAAGATCTGGGGCGAGATTATTCGGGTGATACCGATATCTTCTCTTTACACGGATTCTAGCATATTAATATACGTTTCGACGAAGATTTTGCTTTTCGGTGTGTCTCATTACGTCTTAAGATTTCTTGATTACATCCTCCAAGACCCCCACAGCCCAGCTCAGGCATTTGGCCATGTTCTCCTCAGCTTCCTTGGGCATGCCATGAATGTCAGTCTCTGCGCAGACTTTTCTGTCTAGCTGGCCGTTAACATCGCCGTTTTCAAACAAGAAACTGTGGTCGTGAACATAGTTGGGCCACACAATCTTGTCGACATAGCCTGGAGGGTCTTGCCAGAAGCCTTCGAGCGTCACGTATCCACTCCTGGCCTCGCGCCTTCGCTTTGCAGTCTCGTAGCTGGTGCGGAGAAAAAGACGGACGTCAAACGTGGAGCGTATGTCTTTCATGTCTTGGGAAAAGAGTAGGAAGCCATCCACAATGCATATCCGCTTTTCGCTCCACTCTGGCTTGCCCTCAAGTAAACCGACAACTCGCTCGCGCAATGCCTGGATCTCGGATTCAGGCACGCCATGCTCACCAACGCTGTTCTGATCTTCTTGGCTGACTAGCCAGTCTGGACTCTTGCCCTGGTCTTTGATGTGGTTCAGGGCTTGCTTGAGCGCAGGTAGATTGAGTGACTCGATGCAGTCCCAATCTTGGATTCCATTCTTGACGGGGATTTCAGCATCCGTCAGGTAAAAGTCATCGAGATGCAGGATGAAGAGTTTAGAGGGAGGGAATACATCGCGCAGTAGGCGGGACAGCGTTGTCTTGCCGGAAGATGAGGGGCCCGATATGCCGACAAGGAGGGGCGAGGACATGGTGATGGTGGTGGTGGGGGTTTGTCTATATCCACGACAGTTCCTGATGGCAATGCGTTTGTTAGAGCAAATGAGGCACCGGTACAGGTACTCTGCGTATACTAGCGCCCTATATGCGAGGCGCTTCTATTCGTATCTGGGGTAGAGCAGCCTTGACATGCAATCTGATCTCACACGTGCGAAATGGTGGGGCCATCGATCGTCGACGGCCCGCTAATTAGGTCCCCGTGTCCCAAGCCTGTACGACGCGACACCAGCACTTATACATACGTACGCACATATATGCTACAATTGTGCCTGCTCGGCAGAAACAATTCACGCCAGCAGCCATGGAGCCATCGCCGCTGACCCAAGTCTCGCGGCCCCAGATCTTCCAGCCCAAGATCATTCACCTCTACGAAACCCTATTCAAGGTGCGCTGGTGTCGAATGCGCCTCAACACCACGCCGCTGACCCACAACAGCAAACAGATGATGAGCCCATGGAACCCTCGGAGGGATTCTGGCGGGAGTTCTTCCTACACAAGCCAGAACCAGCGGGCCTCAAGCGTGTCCTGGCTTCGATGGCGCCCGACGAGATGCTGCACCAGCAAGCCCATTCGCAGCAACTCTTTAGCCAGGCCATGTTACGCATAAAGCAGGCCAAAGCCCCGGCCGACGACATCGCCCTCGAGGTACGCCTACGACATGCGCATTCACAGGCCGCACGCGCTTACCGCTTAGACCTTGACAGTCTTCCTCGACGCCGCCCTTGCTAAGAAGTACACCAACCCAAGCTCCGACATCATCTCTGTCCTCGCTGGTCTCAACGATGCCGATGCCGTCATGACCGATTTTGTCGCTACACTGGACACTGCCATACGCAATGGACGAGACAGTAGGTTGTCTCACTGTTAGCTGCAACAGGAAGCTGACCACGAGTAGTATCGCTGCGCCAAAAGGCGATTCGATGCGCTCTCGCCATGACTGCTGCGGGCTTCCAGACAGCACTCCCCTCCTACTTCACTCATCGAGACCTCTTCCCTGCACTCGTCAAGTATACACACGACTGTGACAACAGCACCGACATTCTGCCTGCCCTATACCTTCTTGGTCTACTCGCAAACTACAACAAGTTCGAGTTCCAGAATCCATACAGACTGCGACTGGAGGATTTCGTGAACGATGCCATTATTCAAGACATGATAGCATGTCTAGGCGCTACTTGCACAAAACTGCGTGACGCCTACGTGGCCGTTCAGGATGACATGCCCGAGGGCTGGACGCTTGGTTCGACGTTGAGCTACATTGGCTTGGGCGCGCTCGCCCCAAACTCTCGACCTGCATCACCTGTGCCCCCACCCCCGGACGAGGTAAAATCCCTCTTTGCTGGAATGTAAGCATAATGACTGTAATATACCCAACAACTGCTGATAATCATCTAGGCCAGGGCCAGAGGCCGGCGTGCTCCTCTCTACCTTTGACTTTGCCAACGCCAACAAGGTCTTCTGTTATAACCTAGTTACCTTTGGGTTGGGCAACAAGAACCAATCGTCGCCTTTTAGCGAGTTTCTCTCCGTGACTTCATACATGTTCCAGCATGCACACCGGTCTACCAGAGCCGCTCTGTACACGTATCTAAATCTGTTCGTCCTGCAAATACTTGTCGAGGACCCGGCGCTCTGCAAGCGCTTGTGCAGTGATGAGACGAAGCTCTCGGTGCGTTTGTGTCGCCAACGACAGCCGTTTCTTCCAATCGTGAGAGGTGAGCGGGTTCCCGCAGCCATCATCCTGGACATGATGTCCGATGGCATCAGTCACAATCTGCGGAGACGGTTGGATGTAGACTTTTACATGTAAGTCCTTTGCTGCTGCCACACTTTCTTGGCTAACATATGAAGACTGTGCCTCGGTGTTTTGTTGCGGCTGCTCTCGTACCTCAGTCGCACAAAAGCCCGCATCACGTATCATTGGTCAGAGCTTTGGAGAACACTACTATCGTTTGTCCGGTTCCTCACCACGTACGAGAGCGACATCAAATCAAACTACAAGTCGAATGGCATGATCAATCTCTTGGTCAATCTGTTGGCTTTTGCCCTCTCCAGTGGAGAAAACTTCCTTCCCGACTCTGCGGCATACGACGATCTCTTCTACAAACTAGTTGAGAGTGGCGACGTTCTCATCAAATTTAGAGATGCCTTTGGCCTATCTGGTCAATCTGACTCGATGCAGACACTTGTGAATGTCTCATCTCACTATCATTCACTGCTTGAAGAGAAGGGCAAATCACGCAGCAAACACCTAAGCCCACAAGAAGTGCAGGCCGTAATCAAGCAGGGATATGAGACTCTGTCTATTGATGCTAGCGAAGGCTTGGATCGATGGGAAGCTTTCCGTGAAGCGGACTACAAGTCGCTTCTGAAAAAGATTGCAAGGGCCGCCGTGGAAGATGCCAAGGCGCTGAACAGCGATAGCTGAGGCCAGTATTCAATGATATCCATTACAACATGATTCGCACCAACGGGGTCTACATGATACCATCTGTATTACTTATCAGTAGCACAAATGCAAAACACCAGTAGCGAACATTCATCGAAGAGCGTGTGATTGCATTCTTTGGTATCAGGGTCCTCCTGTTGAGCGGAATTACTTGCATGACTGCGTTCTAGCTGCGTCTGTTAGCTGTGTTATTTGGTACACCCAAAGACAAGACCTCGAGTACATGTCAGCACTACAGCCTCGAACCTGGTTGTCGGTATCAATCAGGGATCGCCGGACTTATACATTGCCCTCGATTCCTCGTAGCCAGTGTGAATTGTTGTATTATCTCATTTCAAGTCCAAGTTTGTGAATCTTGTTAATGTCCTGAGACGCCTTTCTTCTTCACTCAAGTCATAGACTCGCTGTCCGCAAGCAATGACTTCTGTGCCGCCTCCCATGACTGATACTACGGCATGGCCAAGAGAAAAGGTATGTGAGTTTCTCTGTATGTGGAAGTTGTGTTGACAATACTACTAGAATGTACTTGCCGCCGGTTATCCACAGGTTGCACCGCCGGCACACCTAAAAGTAGCAGGTGATGCCACAGTTGACTCTGCAGACATGAGCACTCCTCCTTGGGATGGCAATTATGTCACGCATCCAGCGATGGTCAATCCGCCTGTTCATTACGCCGGGAAGTTGGTGACACCCGCAGGCTATCACCTCGGGCCCCACGGTGAAGGCTGGAATTCTCCTCGTTCGTCTTTGTCAAGGTATCTGCACGAGTACTCGACGCTCTCTCCGGCTAGGCGCGAGAACCCAAAGATGATGGGATTTGTGACGAGTCTTGCTGTGCCGGCTCCAAAGACGAGGCCGGATTACGATGTTGTGGCTGAGTATCAAGGACTCAAGCTGGGTCGTATTAGTGACGCCGTTCCTTACTGTACGTACCCTTTTTTGGCTGAATTTTTTGGAAGAATGTTGCTGCTAACAGATCTTCTTCGTCTAATCCAGTACTCGGGCCTCGCAGCATAATGGACAGAATTCAAGTCGTACTCGAGCACTCGCAGGAACACTCGCAGGAGCACCGAAAGCCATCTTCCTCCCACTACACAACCTCATCCCAAGACACTCCGCAGCCAGTCTACACTCCACGAGACAAAGCACTCATGGCAATCCTAACCTCGCTCAACACTTCCGAAAGCCTACGTCTGGAAAAAGGAGACTGGTACCCTCAAGGCCTCGCCGCCCGCCACGACGCCCTCGTCCTATACGAAAACACCAGCAGCAACGGCATCCGCCTCGCATACGTCTCGCTCACCAACTTCATTCAACAAGCGCAAACATGGCTCCTCGCCCCCAACCCCACCAACAAATCCGGTGACGCACCCCACGCCAAAAACCCCTGGGCCCCTATCGCCGCCCAGCTCCGCTCCAAAGGCGTCGACGTCTCCAAATTAGACCTACAAACCTACCTCGACTTCACCCAGCACCTCTCCGCCTCGGATCTCCCCGCTAAACTCGACGAGATAGCCCAATGGGCCCACGACGGCACTCTCGAAGCGCGCTACGAGAAATTCATCACGGAAAAAGAAGCTACTGCCGCCGCTCAATCTAGAAACCGGGGCTTTCGACCTCTGCTACGGACTTCTGGTGCCAAAGATGCCACGAACAAGGTCTTTGGTGGCCCCGAAGCTCTATACTCCAAGCGCTTCACGCACGAGCATCCCATGGGTAAAGCGGCGTCAGTGAAGGCGAAGCGGCAGCGGCGCAGTGAGCGGTCGAGGGAGGAGGTAGAGAAGACTGTTTTGGCTAATGCGGAGCGGATTCGGAAGATGGAGAAGGGCAAGGTGAGTGCGGGTGATGCGGGGGTGTTGGCTGTGGATGAGACGGAGAAGAAGAGGAGGAGAAGGAAGAGGCATCGGGCGTTTTTTGTGACGTTTATGGTTATGGTGTTTGGAGGGGCGGTCGGGGCGATGTTGTGGGCTATGGGGACTAGACGGTGGGATTTTACGGCTGGGGGGCAGACGCAGTGAGTGAGTGGATTGCGGGGTTCTTACTCTTTCGTTGTGGACGAGATGAGATGAGGAGGAGTAATGGCTCTTGGTTTGGATGATACCTTTGATTTCTCGTGATTGTGAAAAGGTAGTTTTGGATCAACATGAGTTGTAATATCGGTTTTTCCCGCCTAAAAACAGCTCCTATAACTCACGTACGTATGCCAAGTTATCAAGCGCATTTCCTTCCTCCCACTAAAAAAGGTTACTAGTACTTCAACACTAGTACCATCCAACGGAAGTACCCGCACTCCCAAAAATAAACACCTTTAATCTCACCTTTTCTTCAATCTCCACCCCTAGAAACCCCCCAAAATCCACATCTACTTGGGCTCTTATTTACACACATCTTACCCAATCACACACCTCTCTCTTCCCGTGCCTAGAACTCCCCCAGCCGCAATCTCTTAATCTCCTAATCTAATCTCCCCCTCTCCCCTTCTTTCATTCGCCGCCCTTGCACTAGACTCCCGTCTAGTCTCCCCCACCCCACCCCTTCCACCAAACAAACCTCCCTCGTCTTCCCTCTCTCTGCCGATCTGCTCATTGAACTCGAATAGTTCCCACCTTTAATCTCCCATTCCACATCTACCCAACCATACAACCAGCTACTTTTACTTCTCTACCTGCAATTTCCCCTCTGCCCCCCCAAAATCTTAATAAAACCTTTAAAATACCCGTTTGTTTGCACTGAAATAAGGATCGACGACAAGGGGATAGAAACTAGTTTTCTTAGAAGATATATTTTGATTTTTTGTTGAGGTGATCTGGTGGCTTGAGCGCTGTTGTGGTTGCAAGAAGGGTTTAAAAAAAGCTAGGGTGTCGGGGTGGTTGGGGCGGCCACGTGGGAAAGAAGGGGGGGCAAGCTAGAGTGGTAAGTAGAGTTTTTTCTTTGGTGGACGGGTGGTCTGGGCTTTTTGGTGGTTTGGTCTGGTTGGTGAAAGGATAAGGAGGGATAAGACAAGGTGGAGATGGAAGGCGTATCGATTAGATTGTAACTACGCAAAAAGTGCAAGTCTCATTTCTGATCTTCTTAGTTTGCTTCTACGTTAATTCTCTAGCTATGCTGGGCATACAAACCTTTCTCATCTGCAACACTCCGCTTTTTCAGCTTCTGAAAGGACAATTCGGAACTATGCATCCCCCCTTTCGAATATCGAACTCAAATCCAAATGACAAAAAAAAATCAAATGAAAATCAAACTCCTTCCTCCCCCCCAGCCATCCATCCATCCATCCAAACCATCCCAAATCTTCAACCACCCCTGCCTCAACCCGCACAGACACACGTTCGCATTTCCCTCGTCACGGTCCGACTTCCTCAACAGCCCATCCCCGTATCACCACCCCCCTCCCCGAAACGGGCGCTTCAACGTTTCATCTCACCACGCAACAACAACAAAAAAAAGATTTGCAAAAAAAATCGTTGAAACCATATTTCCCTTGTTTGGCTTCCCAATTCCTTCCTAGTAGGGGTCATCCGAACCCTTTCTCCCCCCCTCCTTCCAGTCCAGGGAGGCAAGAAACCGGGGGAGAGGGGAGGGGGCGCGAGCGAAGAAAAAACCGACAAGGGGGAGTGAGGTGTGATGATGATGATGATGATGATGGTGTTTCACATGTCTTACTCTTGTTGCGTATGTTAGACAAAAATTTCGTTTCTGGGGAACGAAAACGGGGTTTGATAAGGATGGGCAGATTGCAGAGGCCGACGCGGCTAGTGGGGCTAGGGCTTATTCTGTATGTGTGTTCTTTTGCTACCCTATTCCAACTATGCTACTATTACAGATTTGGTGCTATTTTCCCCTTTAGAGGTGGGTGCAAGTTTGGTTCGGCGGTGCAGTGGGCGGGCGGGAAAGTGGCGCGAATTGCGTAAGTTGCAGTAGTTTTTAGTGTGCATTCGGGAGGATTAGATTTGATGGTTGAGGATTGCATTTCCCGTAAGCTATAGTAGATACGCATACGTAGTGTGTCTTGCGTGTCCCACTCTTTACTCTTGATCTGAAGCATTTTGTATGGTTGGTTAAGTTTCCAAATTTGACTCGATAGGCTCGGATCTTTCCATTAGTGTCGTGTTGCGAAATGGAAAGGAAAATCCTGGGTAGGGGTGGGAGGCGGGGGCAGCCATAAGCATGTGATGATGTCATTGTACATTGCGCGTGCGAGATTTAGAGTTTCTGGTCGAGGTCTCCGAAGTTTTGCCTTTTGATGTGCAACGCTCTCTCCACACATGCGCGTATGCGTCAGCAATGACAAAGTAGTAAGAGGCGTATAATATTCTCTTGGCCAAGCCGGAGAAAACATGCAGAATAATATAGTAGATGTTTCCGTTTCCGATGCCCGGATCTCAGGATACGAACAGCGACGTGTCAAATGGGCGCACGTTCTTACGCGGTAGGTAAGGATCAACAAACCCGGTGTTCGCTCGAGCGCGCACGCGCTGCGTAAGACGCCCCCACTTTTTTGCCTGCGTGCAATCGATCACAACCGGATTCGGTGATATAGCACCCATGTGCGCGTGCTTCAATCAGATGGTCGCGTCACGGACAAATATGTTCCAAGATGCAGAATCCATGTTCAATATGTGATATTGTAATGTAGTATGTGTGTGAGATCCATCCATCCAGATTCTACTCTACGTGATAGAGAGAAAGGAGATACAAAGGAAAATGGCGTATTAGAAAAATATCTATGTAGTAGTGTATATATATATGTAATTGTGGGGAAAAAAATGCAATGCTAGTGGATTGAATCCCCCCTGGGGACCAATATATGCAGGTGGTATCTTGGGAAAAAGCAACAACAATAACAACAACAAAAGGCAACGCCGAAAATGCTTGTAAACGCCGCCTGCCGTAATCCTCTGTCTTGTGACACTCGTATCTCTGTCTTGTTGCACTCGTCATCATGTCTTGTTACTCGTCATTTGTAGCTTTGAGTGTTG